CCCACTGTCAGCCGATGATGTTGCCTTGCTGGAGGAGGGGCTTGACGAACGGTGCTTGCCTGTGACCAATGCTTGTGCCGCCATTTTGGCCTCCAATTCAAGGATACAAGCATCCTTGGCAGCCTCCACATCCTTAGCTTGAGCCAGTTTTTCCGCCGCAGTCTCTAGTTCCGTGCAAAGGTCGTTGACATCCGCTTTCATGTTCTCCAATAGTGCTGCCATATTTGCCGCGCTGCCTACTGTAGCCCCATCATCCATATCCTTTGTAGCTGGCATCGACAGGCCAATTGTGATGGTGCCCTCAAATTCCGGAGAAGCCTGCTCTGCCGCGAGGAGCTTCTCAATCCACTCATTATCATCCTTCTCCACTTGCTGGTCCAAATTGACGTCCCGCTCATACTCTGAGATTGCACAATGTTGGCGTTGGTCCCAGGTCATAGCGTTGGTAACCGTTTGATTATAGTGGTCCAAGCAGAGCCAGGTGCGGCATGTCTTCCTCTGATGCTTCATGTGTGCGCACAATGAACACATAGAAGCCATCGATTGGGCCTGGTAGAATCATTTGGAAGAGACCGGCTGGGCCCTGGTTCAGTTCCGCATCCATTGCCGCCAGCCATGCGCTGCAATCAAATGCCTCAGTGACCAGGGGCTGCTCAGATGCAGAAAGTTTCGCCTGAGCAGAAGACGCCGTGGGAGGGTTGGTTGCTGCCTGGGGTGGAGACTTCAGTGCCGGAGTTGGCCATGGGAGAGGGGTGAGGGTAGTAGCCTGAGGCGTCTCCGTAGGTTTCTCAAGAGGTTGCTTGGCCCGGCGGTTCTTAGACCCCTTGCGACTGGAACGCTTGGTTGATGAGGCGGGTAGAGTTGGCTGAGCTGTGGTGGAGGCAGTTACACTTGGGTTGGTCAGTGTCAGTTTGGGAGGAGTAGAAGACACGGAAGGTGGCAATGGAGAGTCTGGTGTGTCGGCATCCTGTGTGGCTGATTGTTCAGGCATAGCAGGGGCAGGTTTCTTGACCGCTGGTATGCACTGAATTGCGTAGAGGAATTGGAGGAGGGATTTGCCCTTGCCCTGTTTGCAGTACTTGGGAATGAAGACCTTGGTCAGCATGCCTTGGATAGGAAACAGTGGAGCCAGGGAGGTGCAGGTCTGGGAGGTAGTGTCATGGGTGTTGATGAGTTTCCCAATGATGCCATTCCACTGCCCCCCTGGTTGCGCAAGGTCACCGAGGTGTCCCTTCGTAATCGCCCCCCAGTCGTAGACAAACTGAGTCCGGGCACCAAACGGCATGTGACACTTCTTTGTCTCTGGCCTGAGCCATGCAAAGAGGGCCCGTGCCACTCTATCCACGTCAGAAGCAGCTACCCAAATGTGCCACGCTTTTGGACCCTTGGAGGGCATCAATTTTTGGCCCGCTGTACCGGGGTTCTGTGGCCACGCAGGTTCTAGGGCTATACCTCTCTTGAAGGTGAAGCGATGCATGAGCTCAGGTTCAAGTGCCAATCTCCCAATTCCCATGGGGTAGTTCAATAGCCAACCGATTTGGACAGGATCACTAACTTGCAGCGGGGAACAGAAGATGCCTGCATGCGTGCCGGTGATCTCAAAACATTGACCCAGTAATTGGGACATGTCGTCCAGAGAAGAATTATAGGCGACGCAAATGCGGGTGTGAAGAGTCTTGGAGCCGGGGTTCTTAGCGTTGTAGCCAAATCGGGCGCCATTATTCCAGGACCAGTCAATGTAGGGCTTGAGCTTCTTGTAGGTGGGCTCCTCCACTTTCTCCTTAGAGGTCAGCCACAACTTCTTGTCCCATACACGGAGTTCGCTCACTGGAAGGATGACCAAGTCGCCCTCAGCGTTGTCCATAGCCATAGACAGAACCAAGACCATTTTTTCAGTGAAACACTTTTCAATAGAACCACCCTCAGATGTGTCACCATCCCATTCATAGTTGATTGTAGCGCAGAGGAACTGGGCGTTTGAGCAAGGAAGCCCAGTCAAATTCATCTGTGTCACTTCGCGGGCTTTCATTTCTTCAGAGAGGTACTTGGTCCAAATAGCAGCCTTCTTCTGTGAGGCGGCAACATAAGTGAGTTGTTGCTTCACGGACAGAGGAGCTGAAGGTCGAGGAGGGTTGGGAGGCTCAGTCTTTGACAAGTGGGAGTCAACTAGGACCGTTGCAGAGGGATCGTTGGCCCGCTGGGCTGGGGCAGGTGAATTGCCGTCAACCACTTCTGTAGGAGGGTGATCTGAATGAGATGGTGCCAAAAAGTCGGGAGCCGACTCAACGGACTCCGACCCATCATTGTCAGACCAATAAGCAAACTTGCCGTTGACTGGTTTATTGGTGGGGCTGATTACCGATGGACCTGTTGTGTTCTCCATCACTGTGACAGAAATAAATGAAAACAGACTATAAGCCTATAGTTGACTAGTTTCTACAAGTTGATTGTTATCAATTCAAGTAAAAAGCATGCAGTGAGAAAAGCAATGATCCATCACTTTTCCATGCAAATCTCTAGAATTATCGCAGAACGCTGATGACTCGTCATTCTGCTAAATTAATGGCGTGTAGTGGTTTGTGCACATGCAAAGCGTGCAACGTACAAGCTACACTTCAACCTGGGAATCCTATAGGTCGAGTCACAAGTCCCGTTCCTGTTAGAATTCTGTCACTCCCCAAATGGGACAATGTGAGGACCTAGTCCTCTTGTTCAGCAGTATCTCCAGACCAGAACATTAGAGTCGGTAGTAGTGTCCAGATTTGCTGATGACCCCAATGTTTGCTGAGAATATCAGCTGGGTTGAGAGCACTGTCAATGTGGATAATAGATAGCATGTTAGCTACAACTGCTTCCCTCACACAGTGGAATGACAATGCAACATCTTGATTGTGTAGCTTAGCTTCAGGTAGGGAAGAACTGTTCATGACAGATTCATTGTCACCAAACATGTACCTTTGACCTCTGATCGGCACACCAAGGTACCTCAAGGTCTGTTGAAGATCCATGATCTGTTTGACACAGCTTTGAGTGGCTACAAACTCAGAACCATAAGTTGCAGTCCCAACAGTTGACTGCTCCTTAGATAAGAAATTGATTGAGGTTCCATTCATCATATGACGGATTATACCGGCAACCGATTGGTCTGTCAATAGACAGTAGGGTTTTGTTTTGTTTGGCGCTATGTAGGTAAAGTCACCATAAGGTAGGAGTCTGGGCTTGTGTTTGTCACAATGTTTAAGGGCATTGAAATGTCGGACTTGGAACTTTTGGTGATCTTTTGGTGTTGGGATTCCTCTCCCCATATCCACAAGGACCTCCAATTGGTGACAAAGATAATGGCTTGGTTAACAGGTACGCCCAACCTGACGGGTGGGACTCAGATGAGACCGGTGACGACAGCAAATTCGACAATAAGACTGTCGATGATGCTGATGATGATGACGGTGCGTCTGAGGAATCCGTCATTATCGTTGAAAGCACTCGGCCGACCGACAATGAATTTGGTGGTAGCCAATCCGGCAGAGGTCGCCACGCTGAGACTCGTAACATCACTGATGAAACAGTCCCCGAATTGACAGGAAACACAGGTGATGAATCTGACCCGGAATTAGCGTCTGCGCCAAGAAAGAAAGGACGCTCTCAATGGGTGTCAATTGATGAACAAGCTATGCAATGGACATGGATGGAACGGACCCAAGCGTAGGTTCCCGACCCAGTACGCGCTTCAACGACAAACGACCAGCCGGCTTGCTTGCTTCCGAAACACACAGAAACAGCAAAGACACAACATCTTCACCAACAACAACAAAAACATCACCACAGGAACAGCATCCTTTTCGTCTGTGTGCTTTCAAACCAACCAACAAATCGATCTCTTCCCTCTCCTTCTGCCAGTGGTAGGCCAGGAGCAATCCATATTCCTCAGAGACAGGTTCCTGCATCCGCTTCTGCACTCTGAAGTTTTTCCACCTGCCTGTCTACTTTCATTGCGCAAAGAGATTGTCAGTGTGTACCATAGAAGCCCCATTGTGTTGTGCCAAGTCCTCGCTTTTATAAGGTTGCAGACTTGGTGCAGTGAAGTAATTAAGATGTCTGGATGGTCTACAGGTAGGAATGCTACTGCTCTGCAATGAATCAAGAAGGAAGGGAAGGTCTATGTTGTGAACCCTTGAGTCTGTTGCAAAATACAAAGGTGTAGAGTTGGTCATTCGCATTTGGGTATACTCCCGGTCCCGACTTTTGATATCCATATGTGCTGACATATTGGAGGCAGAGGTCTTCATGTCATAGAAAAAGAAAAACGGAAAACGAAAAGCACCGAACCAATTGGAACTTTGCAAACGGTATTCGTAGCCTAAGTACTAGAGTCTACGTAGAAATTGCAGCAGTTTCATCAATTCAACGGCATTGCACTGTTTTACAATGGGAAAGTATACATCTCTGAAGGTTGTTTCAACGGCTGCTAAGAAGGCAGGCGGATCAAAATCTAAGTCAGGTTCTACCTCCAAAAAGAGCGGAAAGAAACGATTGGAAAATGCATCCTCTGTTGATTTACGTCAACCTAAAGATAGAGATCGCACGATCCCCAACGATTCCGGAACCCAAGAAGTGATCGATACATTGCGCCCACTGATTGACTTTGGGCTCTCCACTCAAGATTTAGTCGCTATCGGCTATGACAAGAACTCTAATCAGATAGAGTTTGGAAATCACATTTTTACAAAATGGATCGACAACCACAACACCCGCTGGTCTCAAGCCCTTCCCAGGTTCGACAGCCCTTTCCAGGACTTCTATGCTAAGTTCTCGGTCGAAGTTTGGGTTAATATGATCTTCAACAAATACGATAACGACTGGCAACACGTTCTGGCCTTTTTTATTTTGACTTTTGAGGATGACGACAAGAACACGGAATGTATCTGGGGAGTGAGAGCGATTGCCCTACAGGTCGCCCAACAAATTCCTTTCTCCTTCTTCAATATCGGTCTTTTGGGTGATTCGACAATTCAACAAGATGACTTGTACTTCTGTCGTGACAATTCTAATCCTCGCTTACAACAAGAGACACCTTTGGTACAATTTTGGTTGATCTGTGCTACCATGTTCAATCATCCTTGGACTATGATGTTTGACGAATTTCTAGAGGTGACTCCTGTAAGATGCATACAGGAAATGAAGACTAAAGTCATCGCGGGTTTTCCGAACGACGCGGTTGACAAAGTTGAAATCCACAA